ATGTTGAAGAGGATCATCACAAGCAGGATTTGACTCCTGCGCCGGTATTTCACATAATTGCCCCCCCCCCCCCCCCAGGTTGTAATCGGTGCCCAATCTACCGACATGCGCAAGGTTGGACCTGGCCTTACCTCTGTCGTGCATTTCCTTTGTGTCGACATTGTTGGTTTTACACCGCTTTGTATGGGAATGTATCGAAAAAACCGTAGCAACTTTTCTCGCAACTTTATTCTTTTTTCATGTGCGCTCATTACGGGAGCAAAATGCTGCACAAAAACTTTTGAAACTTTTTCTCCGGAGCAAAACACTGCAACTCTTTTTTAGCGACGACGGTGTCGAACAACACTTGCGCGGCGCAACTTCCGCCTATCCAAGTCGAGCTGCTACCGGTACCGCACACGTAGACCCTCTCCAGCTTCGGTTGTGGGAAGGCCGTGATCACCGATATCTCGACGAGAACTTAACGAGATGCCTCATGAATGGTATCTGGAAGGAGGTGACACCATGGGCTGTTGGGCAATGCCAAGGTTTGGCGCCGTTAGGTGACGAGAGCGCCGGGAGAAAAAGTGTGTGTCCACTCACGACCGTCAACGGCCGCGAGCGTTTAGTTCAAGTTCGGTGTTTTTGACCGCCACGCGTTTGGTTATCCAACAATAACTTTCCGGAGGAGGAAACAACAACAATAGCAAGACCACTCGGAAGGGGGGGTGGCTCTCTGCTCCATCTTTCATGCCCAAAGTTTGGTGCCGTGGGGTATGTACCGTGCGCGTCGGGAAAAGGTTTTGATTGACCCTAAAATACACACGTCAGAGAGCGGTTGGTTCAAGTTGGCGGGGATTGTGTGCCCATGGTTTGGTTTTTCCAGTGATCACTTTTCGAAGGAGAAGGCAACAGCAACAGCAATGCCACCCCGAGGGAGCCAGCTCTACCCAGCATCTTTATGGTAACAGGTTAGATGCCGTGGGGTATCGTGAGTGTCGAGAAAACACGTTGCAACTACCCTCTCCCGCACACTCTGGCCGTTTTTTCGCGGTGTGATATGTTGCCTGCTTCTCGCCGTTGCTAGACAAAAAATATAAAGAGGATCACGCCTCCGCATTCCGCCGGTCCCGTGCACAAAACTTTCTTGGTCCCATAAGGAGCGTGCGCCAAAATTTCCGTGGACGAACCCGACCAAAGTTGCACAAAGACCCGCAGCTTTTTTTCAACTCCCATACAACAACGGTTTTATCCATTTCCCCGTTTTTTTGTTGTTGTCTGCGGTGGGAGCAACATAATGTAAGACGATGCTGTTGCAGTGCAAGACGGCGATGAATCGCGGCTTCGGCTGTTTTTTATCGGCTCGGAGGAGCAACAGAGTAAATAGACACGACGCGGTTAGTGCAAGACAGCAATGACTTGCGGCTTCATTGGACTGTCTCAGCCTCCGTATGCATCCATATTCGTCCCGCCTGGTTGTGTTTGTGTGTGTGTGATTTCACCTTCCCCCCCGTATACATGTGTTGCATTGGCTTGTGCATATCATGCTAACAATTGGGTTTCCTCTCGTACTAGTAACATGTTCCTCCCCCCCCTAATGGTCTAACAACTAAGTCATGCAAGACATGACTACGCCCCTCCCCCACGAGGACGCGTGGTGTCAACGGCCTAACCGCTTGTACGGCATTGTCAAACATGAGGACCGCCTTCGCGCGATTAATAAGTTTATGAGAAAATAGAACAGGGAGGGGGGACGCAGACCATATTTCCCTAAACGTAGCCCTAACCCTAAACCCAACTCCCCCGATTGTACGCGTTTTCCAACATGTTTGCTTCATACAAAAACCTGCCAAGGGCTACTGAAACATGAGCACGCCCCCCACCCCTTCTTGTTTTGAGTAGCCCCCCCCCCCCACCCACAAGGACGCGTGGTCCATGGTGTAACCGCTTGAAAAGGGATTGCAAAACATGAGCAGGCACCCCCCCACCCCTTGTTTGTTTTCCGGTCACAGAGATCCAAGAAAAGGGGTGCATCCACGG